GCCAAACGCACGACAAGACAAGACATTGCTGACGTTTTCGCAGAATTTTACGAGCACCTTTACCATTCAACGGCAGAGTCGACGCAGCAAGAACGACCCGACGACGACCTCCCACCTTTCACAAAAGCAGAGGTAGACAAGGCGATCAAGGGGCTTCGCCTTGGCAAAGCTCCCGACACCAAGGGCCTCAGAGCAGAGATGCTGAAAGAAGGCACGGAAGAACTCATAGAAGCATTGCTCCACGTCTACAACACGATCCTGCAGTGCAACGCTCCGCCACCGGCCAGCTGGAAGAGCACTGTTGTCACGGTAGTTCCAAAAAAGGTGGACCTCGCGCTCCTTCAAAACTACCGCTCTATATGCACGATACCGCTGTTTTACAAGCTTTTCAGCAGGCTGCTTTACAACCGACTCCAACCGGCACTCGACTCTCGACAGACAGCTGACCAAGCAGGCTTCAGACCAGGACACTCGACCACCGACCACCTCCTCACATTTCACATTCTTCGAGAGCGAGCGCACGAATGGAACCAGAACTTGTGGGTTGCAGCGCTCGACTTTAAAAAGGCTTTTGACACGGTCGAACACGAGAGCATATGGGCAGTGCTCAAGGCGCAAGGTGTCCAGCCAGGATACATATCTCTTTTCCAGCAGTTGTACGAGGGACAGGAAGCCACAGTCAAAACGGATGTAACCAGCCGGCCTTTCAGCATTTTACGGGGCACGAAACAAGGGGACCCGCTCAACTCCCTCCTCTTTAACGCTCTTCTACAACACGTTCTAGAACCGCTGATCACCGAATGGCACAAGAAGGACAAGGGCGTTCAGCTGGGGCGAACCGCCGCCACCACACTCACCAACCTTCGTTTCGCCGACGACGTGCTCTTATCCAGCCAGACTCTCCCGCGCCTCACATCGATGCTCGAAGATATTGTGCGCGCGGCGCAACCGCACGGACTCGAACTGCACCCTTCCAAGACCAAGATTCTGAGCAACCAAACGAGACGGACCGGCAGGGCGAGCTCGCGCACGGCGCGCGTTGAGGGCATGGACATCGACATCTTGCCACACGAGGGCAGCATCAAATACCTCGGCCAACTCATCAGCTTCCACGACGCGACGGAGACAGAGATCCACCACCGCACGAGAGCCGCATGGGCATCATTCACTTCACACAAACAGGAGCTGACCAGCAAGCGCTACCCGCTAGCGCACAGGCTTCGGCTTTTTCACCAGCACAGTAACACCGACGGCGCTTTACGGAGCAGAGACCTGGACGCTTACGGAACCTCTCCGGCAACACTTGCGACGAACGCAACGACGCATGCTCCGCATGATCATCATAACGACACGGCGACGCACTACTCGCAGCACAGTCCCTCACAATAACCACAGCGGCACGGACGACGGCACGACCAACGAAGCACGTGGCGACGACCCCAATGCAACCGACAGTAGCGACGACGCAGACAGCCACGCAGCACAACAAGACGCAGCAGACCCACACAGCGATAGCAACGACAATAACGACGACAACGAGGACACGCTAGAGCCCTGGGTCGAGTACATACAGCGAGCAACACGGAGCGCAGAGCAGCTCATGCAGCACCACCAAGTCGCAAATTGGGAGACGGCTCGCAGACAGAAGTCGTGGCGTATGGCGTCGAGGGTTGCTGACCATGACCCCACCAGATGGACGTGGCGCGCACTCCACTGGCAACCAGGAGGGAACCCACGCCAACGCGGACAACGACAGCAAGGCGGCCAGCGAAAACGCTGGGAAGACGACTTCGTCAAGTTCCTCCAACAAAACAACCCCGACCAGCATCCAACGCCCACACCGACTACAAAAGGCCAACCCAACGATTTCACCTGGATTCGCACGGCCCAAGACACCACCACCTGGTCGACACTCGAACGGCAATACGCACACCCCACGTAACGACACTACGCCGACATCCACATCCAGGACTTCCCTCCTCCCCTCCTCCGTCGCAGATTTGTTTGTATTGTCTCGCTGTCCATATGCATGATCGCGTGTAGTCCATACGTGCAGGTTTGAAGAGGCGACGGCCTCCTCCACCAGGTCTCGAGCAGGCCCGGACAGCTGTCCACAGTGGTGGTTCTCTCTCTCTCTCTCTCTCTCTCTCTCCTCCTCCTCCTCCGCCCTCCTCCTCTTCCTCCCTTCATCCTCATCCTCCTCATCATATTCCTCCTCGTCCTCCTGGTCCTCCTCGTCCTCCTCCTCGTCCGTCCTCATTTTCTTCCTCCTCCTCCTTCTCCTCCTCCTCATCCTCCTCCTCCTCCTCTCCTCTCCTCTTCATCTTCCTCCTCCTCCTCCTCCTCCTCCTCCTCCTCTTCCTTCTCCTCCTCCTTCTCCTCGCGATGTGGGGGGGAGTAGCAGCCGCAGCAGAGGCAGGGCGGAATCGGGCGGGGACAGGACAGTGATCAGAACGTTCCAGGGCGCTCCAGAACGCGTTTCAGAGTGTTCTGCAGTGCCCTGAGAAGGGTACATATCAGTCTGGCCAGGGTCGATACTGGGAGGGGTCTGGGGACCGAGCTCGATCGGATTCTGCATGAGTTTGCCGTCCTCGGATCC